CTCTCTCTCTCTGTATATATATATATATATATATATATATATATATATATATATATATAAAGGGTTTTCTAATAGCTTGAACCGATTTTAAATGTGAATTAAGTTTAAACGTGTAATGATTTTTTTTCTTTTGCTTTCAGATTTGGCGGACATTTGGGCGATATTATTTTTCACACATAATTGCCATGACTTAAATAACATGATCCAATAGAGAAATAAATAAATTCACACCAATAAAACTGATTCATTTACTGCTGACTTTCATCCCTCTTAATGAAACACCCTTTATATATATGTGTGTGTGAGTATGTTGGTTTCTGTGTGTATGTTTATTTCTGTGTGTGTGTGTGTGTGTGTGTGTGTGTGTGTGTGTGTGTGTGTGTGTGTGCATGTAGCTAATTAATGACAATGATTTCCTTCCAGTTCACTTTTCAAAACTAGTGAAACATAAATTAATTTTATGGAGAGCAGAATTGTAAATTTGGGGCGCCTGCAATTCGACAGGTATGTGCTTTGAATATTGACTTCTCTTTAATGGATTACAGCCAGGCTTTATACTCTAATCACCGGAAACCTTTCAAGTCAGTGAAACCCCTAAAGGGTTGGGATTATAATTCTAATCGAAAGAAAGTATTGCTGCAAGCATGTAAGAGAAGTCAGGGAGACATAATATGGCGTAAGCGATACACTTGTATCAGAATGCGCATGCGTCATTTTCATCAACAATTTGCATTCAAACAAGACTCGATTGATTCATGGCAAGAAAGAAAACCAAGGAAGGCAGACGAGGAGAAATGTGAAAAAGAAATAAGAAGAGAATAATTGAGCGTAAATGCGAAAATAAAAGTGGCTAGAAAAACAATGAAATGAAATCTAAAATGACGTAAAAATGAGTGAAAGAAGAGAAAAAAGACGGGGTAAAAGGAATAAACGTAAAAGATAGGAAGGCAGTAAACAGGCGAAGAAGAAAAGAAAACAAGAAAAGAAAAAATAATAAAGGAAGGAGAAAAGCAAAGTAAACAAAAAAGAATTGAAAGAGGGGAACGAAAAAAATGTAACGTAGTAATTTGAATTTGGAAAGAAGAAGAAGAAGAAGAAGAAGAAGAAGAAGAAGAAGAAGAAGAAGAAGAAGAAGAAGTTACAAACATAATAACTTCATCCACATGGAAAAGTAAGATTAAAAATAATGGAAGCCTAATAATCAAAAAGAATAAGCCAACACTCACTCACATTAACTACGAAAACGGCCACAATGTACTGATCGTGTTGGGAAATAAAACAAACGTATAACCCTAGATGCATGCATAACACAGCCCATACATTCAGTTATAAAGTAAAAATAAAATCATTCTTGATAATGGCCAAAAGAATAGTCGAAACCACTCGGAAATGAAAAAGATTTGGACATATTTTACACACTTTTTTTCCAGAAAATAAAACACTTGTGTGAACACAAGAATAATTAAATAAAAAGCTGAATTGCAGTACCTTGTCAGTCGTCTTTAACCATTAATATATATATATATATATATATATATATATATATATATATGACAAATTCCACCAATAAAAAAATTATTTTGTCTGAAGAAGTCTTTTTGAAAGATGAAACGCGTTGCATTGGATATTTTTTCCATTTCATCATTCAGTTTTCCTAATCATGTTTTCCCTGAAGTTCAAATGATCAATGATCACGTCCCTAGAGACTTCCTCTTCTCATCCATCAAAAACCACCTTCCAGGCTCCGAATTCACTGAATGCATCGATCTAATTGTGGAACTGTAACAATCTACAAATTTTTACATGTCTGGCGAGGGTCCCAATACGTAAATATTTCAAATCATATCAGGAGTACGACATGAGAGCCCCAATCTATTTTTCTAGACGATGCCCTGCACATGTAGAAGTACCGATATGGAGAACTGAGCACTGACCATTAAAACATACCATACCACACCCCAAGCGAATCGATCACAAGAGGACAACGATCCTGCTTTCCCTCTCGATGTACTAATGACGAGGGAAGTGTGTTGATAACAAAAGTAATTACACCATTTTCTACCATATCTGTCTATATTAATGAGATAACGTATTATAATTATTTAGATCATTTACATTGTTTGGACTGTTGTCCTCATCTTGATTACCATATTCACGACGTTTCGGCTCTTGTACGCTCCGGCTTTCTTCAGATGATTCGAATTTCGAACCGAACCCTTTATTTCGTCCACCGGAATAGATTGCTTTCGTTCTATGGGCTATGCCTCTTCCAGATCTGTCAGTTATCTCCCTTTAAATCAAGTTTTTGTTCACCATTGCAGTAACCAGGTATTGAACTCACAACTCTTTGTGTCAAGTCACTGGATCCAGCCAACGCTTTTATCTACTGAGGCATGTAGAAAAAGAAAACAATAGTCAGAACAATGTAAATAATCTTCTACTTTGTGTTCTACGAAATATGACTCAAAACAAAGAGAAACTATGATTTGGAATTGAAATGAAAGCAGTGATGTCACATGACCCTGAATCCGTCATGAAAATCCAGAATTAGTAAATATTAAATACTTCCAATAATTCCTTGTATGGATCAATTATAACAAATTTAGTATAGGAGAAAAGGAAATTAATCATAGAACAGACTGCGCCTGGGGTAGTTTTCCCCAACACCGCACATTGCTACAAAACCGAAACATTAACCAGAAAACTTGAGTCATGTTCTTCGTCAAATCAAAACTTTCATATGGATATCATATATGGCGCCAGCTCCACTCAGAAATATTTAAACTGTTTTCTGTATACAAACCGCCTTCTATGATTAATGGTTAAAATAGATTTAAGTGAGTGAAGCCTTGACGAAGAACATACTTTGAACATTGTGGACTGGCGCTAAACAATCACAAGCATTCATTGACTGAAATGCTGGTACTACTGTTGGTTGAAATTTATAATTTTTTTCTCTTAAAAGCATTTTCCAGGAGAATACGTTTTTCAGGTTCAGTAGATGTTATCCTTCTTTCCAGTATTGGTGGTGATTTCCTTCCTAACCTTTTGTTTGAAGTGGTGTGGATGATCAGCATATTTATTATATTTGCTCTTCGAGTTACGTGTAATATCCATTTTTGTTGCTCCCGTTAGAAGTACTCAAGTGTTGTGATTTGTGCAATTTGGTAGCGTTCTTTATGATTCTGTTGCGCCAATCTACAAGATTCGAAGAAGTGTGATCTTCGTCAATAAGTATAGTTTTCATGGTATGCTTAATTATGTGGTTCATTGTCTGATGATAGTTGCATTTATTCAGCTTGGTATTGCTATGAAGATAGATCTACTGACGTCTTCCGGTATTTTGTTTACTATTTCAATGATATTCTCGAAGATGAAATCGTAACGGATTTAACTTCTGTGATAAATAAAGTGCTGAAAATCTATTGGCCAGATAGACTTCTTGAAATCTAGCTAAATGACAAAATATAATGTTTTTTTATAGACCCCTTTTTGCTCAGTCAGGGAACATTCCAGTAAATCTTTTTATATTCAATTATAGTTATTCAAATTCTTCGAAGTCTGACTGTGCACCTTGAATATTGGTATAGAATTATCTTCACATGGTATTATTTAGTTTAGTTTAGCTTTGTTAGGCTCTAGAAAGTATTTAGTGATCCAATTCTCCTCGCAAACAAAGGGGGGTCTTCGAGACGAGGTACAATACAAAGGTCAAAGAAACTATAGATAAAGATAAGTAAGAAAGAAAAAAATTCAGCTTGTTGCTTGGTTTGTAGTCAGACGTGAATTCCAAACTTAAGAAATGCGGGCAATTAGCGACTGGAAATCAAACAAATCTCTTCGGAATAGCAAAGAAGGATTTACGAAGAAGAATATGGAATTAACCAGACTTTGTAGAAACGGAAGGCACATTCCGAAAGTTAGAAAAATATTAAAGACAAAAGTAATACCTAAAGTAGATAAGAATGTGTCCTATTGAGGCTCCAACCAGTCGACATAATACACCAATTTATTTAAGAGGTCTGAAGAATTCTTATTTTCCAGCGACTGCAAAATAAATCAAAGTTAAGTAGCATTTCTTTATGTGCCGTGTCCTGACAGGTCATAGGCGATCATGGCTCTTTACAACTTCCTGTCCTTTGAGGCTCTTCATAAATTTGATCTTTTTCTTACCTCTTCTAAGCCCAGTTCCGTCATCCATTTACTCAAGCTCACGAAGTATGACATGCATTGTCTTCCTCTGTCCCTCTTGATTTCAGACTGTCCTGGGAGTATCAAATTTTCCAAGCCATCTTTCCTCATTATGTGACCTAGAAATTTTAAACTGTCTCTCCCTGATGTTAGGTATAACTTTCCTACGCTTCTTAATTTTCTCCCTAAAAGATAACCTATAACCGCCAAGGTTAAGCAACGTGGAAACTGATCAGTACTTACACGGTGACCGCTTGGGAATATCAGGTGCTGCAAGTTTGGATGTGCGGGTGGTGTAATGTCTAATAGCTCGGAATTGTTAATCGAAGATTCGAGTTCCAATTGGAGTTGGGTTTGTTATATTCACTTACGAGGAAATAACCTTGGGAAAGGTATGAATACACCTCTTCTCCCACCTGCTATGGGTTAATCAGTAAAACTTGTGTCATTACACCATTGTTATTTCCAAAAATAAAATAAAATTCTTTCCGAAATATTTAGATTTCGGCATTAAAGTGTGGTCCGAATGTCTTGTCACCTTAACCCATACTTCCAAACTGTAGTGTCAGCCACCTGAAATAGGAAATTATATTATGTAAGGGTGACAAGACTTTCCGACCATCCTGGAGAAATTGATTCATGCTGGAATGTGAACACAATAGCTATGGTGGGACTCGTTGATTTCACGTCTGCGCCGAAAACCGTGTATATAGCATTCTGAAAAAAAAAAAAAAAAAGATTAGTAGGTTTACAATCAAACCTAGCAGAAAAGATCACTCCCCAATTAAATACGCTTTACTGCCAAATCACATAGAAACGCCGGTCCCCGTACAGTCACCGAAGTTAAGCAACCTCGAGTCTGGCCAGTACCAAGATGGATGACCGCTTGGGAATGCCAGGTGCAGTAAGCTTGGATGTGCGGATGGTGTAATGGATAATGGCTCGGAATTGTTAATCGGAGAGCCGAGTTCCAATTCCAGTTGGGTTCGTTATATTCACTTACGGGCAAATACCCTTGGGAAAGGTATGAATCCACCACTTCTCCACGGCTTCCTGTCCTTACGCGTAAATACCCTTTGGACAGGTATGAATCCACCTAATCTCCCCAGAGTTATGGGTTAATTAGTATTATTTGTACCAGTAAAATCCTTATTATCTCCAAAATATCTTACACTCTAAAAGTATTTTATGGATTTAAATAACATGCAAAGTGTTGATAAACCGTAAAAATCAAATAAAAATAAATAAATACAGAAATTAAATATATTCGGTATTGAACGGAGGGGCCACTGTGTGACACATCAACCATTGATTGTTATACTATTCAAAATATCATGTCATTTATTTTCAGTCAGAATTTATTTAAGTAAAATGTTAAAATTCATGGGGAAATTTAGCCGGTGTTATTTTAATCTATAAAAGGGATATTCTCAGAGAAGGATACACATCTGTATGTGAAATGCAAATTGTGTATTTTGTTTTGAAGATATATAAAGTCAAATCAAGGCAAAATATTATACAAAATAACAAAAATTTAATTTCTCGCTTCCGGATTTACGAACATGTATATCGTATATGCAATAATCGGGAATCGATAATCTAAGTGATTATAAAAAGTGGGAGAAATTATTTTCACTCTTCCACATTTTTGGATATACATTTTTATATCCAATAATCGAAAATGAATGGTCAGTTGAAGCTGTAAAAGGTTGGAGAAATTTAATTTCACTTTTCCAGATTTTGGGAATGTATATTTCATATATTCAATGATCGACAATCTATATTCAGACTATAGGTTATAAAAGGTTAGAAAAATTTAAATTCACTCTTCCGGATTTTTGGATGTATATTTCGAATATCCAATAATCGATAAATAATATTCGGACTATAGGACTATATAAATGTTGGAGAAATTTAATTTCACTATTGCGGATATTTGGGATTATATTTCGTATATCCAATAGTCGACAATTAATATTCCGATTATAAGCTATAAAAGTGTTTGAGAAATTTAAATTCACTCTTTCGGATTTTGGGATCTATATTTCGTATATCCAATAATCGAGAATTAGTATTCAGACTATAGGTTATAAAAGGTTTGAGAAATTTAAACTCACTTTTCCGGATTTTTGGATGTATATTTCGTATATTCAGTAATCGACAATTAATATTCCGACTATAAGCTATAAATTTAGGTTTGAGAAATTTAAATTCCAAATTTTGGATATATATTATGCATAATCGATAATGAATAATCAATATTCAGAAAAAAGTTTAAAATCGGATGAGAAATTTACTTTCATTCTTTCGCATTTGGGAGTGTTTTCTCATGTGCAATAATTGACAATTAGTATTCGGATTACAAGTTAGAAAAGTTAGAAAAAAATTATTTCACTTCTCCATATCCTTTAATTTCATTGTTGAACATGTAATAATTTGATTTCTGGAAATTTATTTTTTAAATTTATTCTTGACAATGAAATTACACGACAGTCCCCTGGTGAACGAAAACACACACACACGCACAAAACACTATCGAATGAAGAAAAGCCTTCTTCTTCTTTTATGTGCCGTGTCCCTTCAGGACTTAGGCGATCATGGCCCTCCACTTCCTCCTATCCCTTGTTGTTCTCAATAAGTGTTGTCACTTTGCTATTTCTTCCAGACCCTGTTCTGTCATCCACTTGCTTAAAGCTGCTATGTATGTCTCGCGTTGCATACAACTGTCTCTCTTTCCCACTGTTCGCCCTGTGAGTATCAGATTCTCCAAGCCCTCCTTTCTCAGTGCGTGTCCCAGAAATTTCATCTGCCTCTTCCTGGTGTTAAATAAGTAACAACGCTTAAAATACGTTGAAAATTGTCGGCGAGTGATAACGTTCATTTTACGCAGGGTCTATAAGCCTAAAAATTGTCCCTCAAATGCTTTGTCCCTGTACTAATGGCACTAAAACGTTTTCCCGGTGAATAACACATCAGATCGATGCCGGCAATCGTGCTTTTTTTTCATTGTGATTTCTGCTCTGCTGCGACAACGAGAATTAGGTTGGTATATTCAATAATGATTATTCAAAGGTAGGGGTTCGTTATAAAAAAACAAGAAAAATTTGATTTCATTCGACCAGATTTTCGGATATGTTTTGTGTATAAAATAATAACAATCTAGAATCAATATACTTGTAAAAAGGCGGGAGACGATTTACAGTGTAACCCGGATATAAGAGACCCTGATATAAGAGAAACCCGGATATAAGGGAGATTTTCTCTGGTCCCAAATTAGAGCCCATACTTACCTAAACAAAATAGACCAAATCCGGATATAAGAGAAACCCGGATATAAGACATTTCATCTCCGGTCCCGACAACTCTCTTACATCCGGGTTACACTGCATTACAACTTTCCGGATTTTTTAATTTTATTTTGAACATGTAAATTTTGGATCAATGGTTATCAATCAGGATGCCATGTGTAGGCGATCATGTATCTTTCGATACATGACCGACGAGGCAGATTTTTTTTCCGCAGTAGGTTGCCATTTCTTTCTGCGGTAGACCAGTTGACATCCAAGGCTATTGAACCCGGTCTGTCCCGCTATTTACGCATAGCTGGGGGAAGAAGAAGAGGATTCATACCTTTCCCAAGGGTATTGGCACGTAAGTGAATGCAATGGAATTCGAACTCGGCTCTCCGATTCCTCAATCAGAGCCGCTATCCATTACTTCACCACAATCTAGATGAGCAAACTATTATTATTATTATTATCATTATTATTGTTGTTGTTGTTGTTAAATGAGATCAATATTCAAAGGTTTCCTCATGTTTATGAATAAGATAGTGATAGATTAAGGCTGCAAGAAGCCGTTTAGTGCCAATTGTCGCTGAACAATGAGGGAGGTGTGAAATTTCAGAATCTTACCGAAATCCTCACCATGAACAAACCAATTTATTGCATCACTGAATGTGCCCATACGTATTTAGTAATCTATACGTAACTATTCAGAATTGCCGAAAAAGTTCAAAATGCCTTTTCAATTGAAAGAGTAGATTTTTTACGAAAAAGGAAATATTTTAGATTTTTTAGGCAGGAAGTACTTATAAAGTATCATGCCCAACACTAGAGACAGGATTTCAAGTATTTTCCTTCTACATACATACAAATACATACATACATACACATACACACACACATACACACACACACACACACACACACACACACACACACACACACACACACATATATATATATATATATGATGCCTTTATAATTTTTTGTATATATATATGTATATTAATTATATAATGTTCCGACGAAGTACGAAATTCAAGCACGAAATTTCGAAATAAACATGAGTTAGTTGGAAAAATACATATTAATTTTTTATATATATATATATATATATATATATATATATATATATATATATATATATATATATATATAAATAATAGTATTTTTACCAATACATGTTTTTATATATATATATATATATATATATGGATACACACATTTACATATATATATATATATATATATATATATATATATATATATATATATATATATATATATATATAAGTATGGATATGTGTATGTGTATTTTTTCTTAATCAGTATGACGTGTGTATATATATATATATATATGTGTGTGTGTGTGTGTGTGTGCGTGTGTGTGTGTGTGTGCATATTTATGCATAGTTATGTTTGTGAACATATATATGCAGATAGGCATATATATGTTTCATAATTCGCTTTTTTAACCAAAATATTTTATATAAAAATATTTTTTCGTTAATATTTGATATATTTGCGACTATGGTTGCGAAAGTTGGCCTGGAATACATTAAAAGCGATTCATATTTTTATGGTCTTTTGCAAACAGAACACACAACAATGTTGAACGTGTACATATTCCAATACGAAGAAAATCCTGGAAATTATCAAGTTCTCCGGAAATTATCAAGTTACAGTATATTTCCACGAATAACGCCTATAGATAAGACGAGACCCAAAATCGAGATAAAATTTCGTGATTCCATCTGATATCTGTAGTATAAGACGGCCGGCTGCGACCAATATGACAAAACTGCAAATGACCATGCTTTTGATGACCTCTTTACCCTAGACTCTGATGATTATATAATTGTGATGGGTTTTAATTATATATGTTGGTTTCTTTTGTTTTTTATTGTCATAAGAAGATTGTGTGGCACCTTCAATGTTTCTTTGATTAACAACACAAAAATACTGTATAATGTATGTTATTGAAATATAAAGTTTGCATGTTTTACTAAATGTTATTTAAACCCCATGATAACGAATTTTTATTAGAAATATAGATTCTATGTTATCATTAAGTGCTTAAAACTACTGTGAAAAATAATGATTGGTGTGAACTCACCTATAGCTTTACAAATCAAGAACGAAAGATTTATTTACATTATTTACATTGTTCGGACTGTTGTCTTGATCTTTATTGCCATATTCACGACCTTTCGACCCTTGTACGCTCCGGTTTTCTTCAGATGATTGGAATTTCGAACTGAACCCTTTATTTCGTTCACCGGGCTAGAGTGTCCATCTGCCGAAACGTCGTGAATATGACAACAAAGATGAGGATTACAGTCCGTAAATAATTACAATACTTCATCTCAGAAATGTAGACAGACAACGAAAGATTTGATCCCGTTACTTGTGTGTGTTGCTCGACGAAACCTTTGCAAATTGTTGTGTTGCATTTTAATTTGAAATCAAGAAGTAAAAGTAGTTTTATAATATTTATACCAACAGTACAGCATTATAATGGGAATTGTTTTAACTAGAATTATTTACATTAGTCGTTACCATACCGAGACATCTGTTAGTCTACCGCGATTCATGATGCAAAAATACTAGCCTACTAACGAGTGC